CAAGCCTTGGGGCCAACCATTGACAGGAACTTGGCACAGAATGGATTCCCAAATGAGAAGTCAGGTTAGCACAGACAAGCTTCCCTGTCAACTCCACAACTTCCCCAATGTTCTCTCCCCTCTCTTCTCCATCCCTTCCGCCACTGACCAGCACCTTACCCCTGACTCTTCCCACTAACTGGAGCCAGGATTTGTTCAGCCTCACCCTTTGCCCTTGCAGAAGCTCCACAGCTGGTCGTGGCTGAGCCCCAGGTGTCAGTGCTGGAGGGGGGAGAGGCCTGGCTGGAGTGTGCCCTCCAGGGAGGCACTCCACCTGCCCAGCTCCTCTGGCTGGGACCCCAGCAACAACAACTGGAGCCAGGCATCTCTGGATTCGTGCTGCACCCCGAGGGCACCCAGCTGCTCCTTGGCATCAGAGATGCCAACCCAGCACACCACACTGGCACCTACCAATGTGTGGCCCGCAATGCCGTGGGCAGCCGCAGTCGGCGCGTGCTGGTGGAGGTCCTGAGTGAGTGAGGGCAGTGTTTGCATGCATGATGTGGGTTGGGACAGTAGTGTCCTTGTGGTGCCTAGACCTAGGAGCAAAGTCATGGGAATTCCCTACTCCAAAATGTGACCCTCTGCTCCCTCAATGAACTATGTGAGTGGGATTTGGTATACTCTTGAATACAGGGAAATAGAACTTGATGCAGTCAGAATAACCTTTCTTCATTTTATAGATGAAGAAACAGACTAGTCAGTTCTTGCCCCCGCCCAGTGCCTTTTCTACACTGCCAGGCTGTCTGTCCCCATGAGCAAAGCTGGGGACACAAGCACATGTGGCTGTAGGTCCAATGTGTCTGTGTCCCCACCCCTGCCCCCAGGATATCCAGTTCCTCCCAACGTCACCATCAGCCGCCTGACCTATGGGAGGCAGCGGAGAGAGGTGCAGCTGCAGTGGGCCGTGGCAGGCCCCGGGGAACTTACAGGCTTCCTGGTGCAGCGCAGGCCCAGCACCCCAGGCCCAAGAACTGGGGCTTGGGAGACGGCTGTTAGTGACATCAAGCCGGAGAGCAGGGGCCTGCGGCTGGGAGGCTTGGACCCAGGGGTCCTTTATGCCTTCCGCATCCTGGCTCTGAATCACCACACAGCTGGACATCCCTCTGAGGGGAAGATACCAGGTGCTGGGTCCTACACCACAGTGGGCCTCACCTTTCTTCAGAGAACTGGCCCTGGTTCATCTCCTTTCCATAGGCATCTCCTCTCTACTACTTTGCTTCTTTCCTGCTGAAATCCCCCAGCACAACCTCTGTCCTTTCCTCCACCCTTTCCTCTGGGTCCTCAGGTAATCTCCACTATTCTTCCCCATCTCTTCTTGACGGGCTTGGCAGCTCCAGGCCTAGGGGTAGGAACCCTACTTCACAGGGAAGAGGAAGAGGTGCTGGGGGTCAGACAGCTGGTAGGAGCCCAACTCCGTGCCTCAGTCTCCCCTCCTGGGTGCAGGCGGCTCATGGCTCCCTGCTGCTTCCACTCTCTCCTGGGGGCTCCTTACTCCATGGCATACTTCCCTCAAGTCCCAAGCTGCCTGGATGGCCAGAAACAGGGTACTTGGTGGGGCACTGGTTAACAGCACTGGGTAGCTTAAGTACCTATTCCTTGAGAGCCCTGAACTCCAGGTTCTCTGGCAAGCCTTGCTCTTGGTCCCCACATCACCTGAAGGGGAGCTGGATAAGCAGCCACTGTCACTGTCGCCCAAGTTCTGCAATAGCTCTAAACCCCACCACTTGTGCTATCCTCTCTAGTGGATCCCCCCTTCAGCGCCTATCCAGCAGTGTTGGGTGCAGCAGGCACAGGAATGGTGGTGGCAACGGTGGCCTCTCTGCTAGTGTTCCAGTATGCTGCCCGACACCCAGAGACCTTTCCCTGTGAGTAGGGGTCTGAAGGGAAGAACTGCTCGGCTCCACTGTTTGTGGCCAGGTCTAGACCTACCCAAATGGGAGGGATGGTGCTTCCATAACTGAAACCTCTCCTCAATGCTAGATAGTGTCCTTCTGGTCTCCAATCCCCAGTTCAGGTATCTGCAGGGAAGATGTCCTTCTGGGCTTCTGAGACACTAGTATGAAGCTCTTTGGGAAAGGGTCATTTTCCCAGGACCTGCACTGGGTTGCCCAAATAATGCTCATTTTCTTTTCCTTCCTCCAGGCCTTGGTCAGCTGCTTGTTCCCATGTAAATACACAGCCTGTCACTCTGGGGGAATCTCAGCTTTCTTCAACTGGAGAGGAAGGCTAGAGAAGTTAAGTCATCACCAACTTTACTTTCCCACCTCACCTCCAGGGCACAGAGATGGCCACAGAGGGGCGCGAGGGATGGCACTGAGGCACAGGCAGGTGGGCATGACTTCATCCCAAAGGTCCCCCATGTACAAGGAGGCTCTGCTGAGTGTTCTCTGGGAACCATCTAAGACACTCCCAAGGCGTGTCTCTTCTTTGCTCATATATGCTCTTTGTAGGCCTTGAAATCCTGGCCACCGCCCCAGGTTCAGATCCTGCACAACAGTCCACTGATGCTCCAGTAAATGTCACCATCACGGTGACTGCAACACCATGAGAGGAAGGTGTGTGTGGGTTCAGGGAGGGCAGGTAGGATCTGGCAAGAGCCCCTCTGACAGACTTCATTCTTAAGGTCCAAGGTCACAAAGACACCAGCTACCCCTTCCTGACTTAATACCCAGTCTTTCCAATCAGGCAAGGCCCAGCAGCTGTGCCCCAAGAGATAGGGCTACAGCCTATGGAGGACAGAAGTGTCAGGGCAAGGAGACACACAAGACAGAAAGCTTGCTGGGCGTCACAGGGCAAGGGAAGGCTGTGGTACTGGGAGCCATCTTCAGTATGATAGAAGTATGAGCAAGCTAGCTGCTGCCAGAAAAACATTTGTGGATTGAGCAATTCCTGAATAAATGGTGCCTGTTGTCTGCACTAACAGAGGCTATTCAATTGCAGGTCCCAGCTGACCGCTGGGTCCCAGCTTTGGCTAGTGGAAGCAGTGAGGTGTGCACGTCTGTCTTCCCCAAAGAACTGTGCTGCACTCAGACTGCAGCAGGGTTTGAGGGTTACAGATGCAGCTGCCTGTTTCCAGGCCGAAGCAGCTGACCAACAGAAAGCGGGGCTGCTCCAGAGTCACACTGTCAGGTGCCAGAGTGACTCACCCCGCTCGCCTACGATATGGGCGAAACACAAATGAATGCCTATTTCACTGACATGAGGAGTCCGAGCTGCCTCTGCAGGGGACCCAGAATTTCCAGCCAGGAACAAGGGGAGGGGCACCTGTCAGAAAACAGAAAAACTTAAGTAGCTTCTTTGGTTCTCACAGTTAGGCTTTATAAGAAAAGGGTTTCAGCTTCCCTCAAAGTTCTAGAACTGGGGCTAAGGTTTAAAGAAGGCTTTACGTGTTATATAGGAAATAAAATAGACAAGGGCCGCAACCCAAGGGCCTAACAACTTCAATTTTTTTAGGGTAGTAAAACAAAACTTCTTGAAGAGGCTAAATTTCTACCCTGAAGTTTATGCAGATGAGGCCCAAGGTTAATGGTAAAATGAGACAAGTGAGGAGGGCCTACTCCTCCTCATCCTTCCAAACTCTCTCCCACCCTCCTCTCTTCTGTCCAGGAAAATACCTTGAGGGGCTCTGCCTGTCTCCCCACAGACCCTCAGCTGATGTATTTTCTCAGCCTCCTCATAGAACACTGGCCCAGCATCCTGCTCCTGCAGGCTCTGATCTTCAGTCAGAGCAGAAGGCTAAGCTCACTGAGCTCCTGGGTACACACAGGGGATTTCAGGGAAGGACACGATGGAGGCCCCAGGGAACCTCAGAGTAAGACATCCACCCACACTAATCCCGAACAAACAGGGAGTATCCAAGTATCCCCATCTTCAAAGGCCTCTCTACTGGGAAGCAGCATTCTCTTTTAATATAAAATCATATCAACCAAATAAAACTTGTCAAAGCTACATCACTTAGAATATGTACAATTTCAAACATAACATTCCAACTTTAAGGAAAATAAAATATACTTTTCAATATGATACAAAGCATGCATCTCAAAGTAATTGTTTTAAAAGAGCAACACAGGTGAAATTCAACTACAAACTTCACTTCTTAGCAGTTCCATAGCTGGAATGAGATCTGTGGCTTGAGGAGCCCAGTATGGATGCAATTGTTCTCATCCAACAAAAACAAAATTCAGAAAGTAATGCACTTGTAAAGATTATTTGAAAAGGTTTACAACAATGTGATTTACTGCCCACCCTGGACAGCACCTACCATCCTCAGACTTCAATGGATAAGCAAAAGAGACAGCTAAATGACACAAGAGGAGACTTTAACATGAAAACAAAGACTCACACAAAATTCCAGGATGAGAAGAGCATGAAGAGGCCTAATTTCACAACTGCTGAGCTAAGTGAAGATCAAATTCTTAGGCTGGCAGGGGAGCACCCAGGGGGGGACTCCTGGGAGTCAATCTGCCCACACATGGCAGGGTAGATGGAACAAGACTGGCTCCATCAGCTGAGTGACCACGGCACTTTTGGAAAGCAGTGTGGAGAAGTGGGAGGAGCACAGACCAGAGCTCAGGTTGGACTGTGCTCCAGAGGCAGACCCATGGGCTCAGTGGTACTGTGGGGATTGTAATAACTGTTATGCGGGTTGAATGAGAGGACAGTTAATAAGCACTGTGCACAAAGCCTGGGACACAGTAGTCACTCAGCACATACTGGTGCTCTCTCCAACACTGTGCTGTGTCCTCTCGCTTTCTGATGGAGTGACATTATGTAGGACTGATTTGGTGACTGTGCAAGGCATAAAAGTTCAGAGCAATTCATGCTTAGGGAGAACTCTTAACTCCTAAACATAAAGGCAACTGTGTATATATAATATTTATATTTATATATCTCAATATATAAAGGCATTTGTATAAATAAAATACAATAAAAAGGATAACACTTAAAACAGTGTTGCTAATAATATAAATAAAGCAGTTCCACAATGAGACTGTCCTGAAGGCAAAGCCATTTTCTCTTCCTTGTGGACAAACTCCATATTCAAATTCAATCTTTAAAAGCAGTTTATGACCTAAGGCTCGTGCTAATACACCTGTTTCCTGAAAGAAAATGACTATCTATAGACATTAATGCTTCAGTTTTCAAAAACTCCCTTTGTGACAGTATTGCTGTAAGAAGACTGGCAAACAGAGTATGTTTTCATATTCTGTATGCAGGACTTTGTCCTTTGCTAGTGTAGGAAGAAGGAATGCAGTTATCCTGCTCCAAAGCAAACTGCATCTAAACAACATGATCCAGGACACCACAAGCACAGACATCTGGGATGTAGAAGCTGTTTCCATGGCACCTCTAACATCCAGCTATGAAGTTGTGTCTGGGGACTCTACAGGAAGTGGCTCCTACACAGTGACCAGTGTAAACAAGCACATTCTCACTGGCAGTTCTATTATAAAATACATGGACACAGGGGAGAGAATCCTGATGCACTTATATAAGAAGGTGATTAACACAGCATGCTATTCTATGCCACTGCAGTTTCTGGGAAACTGTGAAATGTCTTCATTTATGCGGGAACTGCCAGAGAATAATTTTCTATTTCTTTCCTCAAAGGGCTACACAACCCAGAAGGAGGCAAGTATGCATTAAAGCTTGACTCAGGCCATGAAACTCATTTAGTGTGTATGTGTTTAACGTGAAGAAAAGCCTTCCTAAGACAGCTGCAAATGACCCTGTCACCTAGAGGGACAGTGACCATGATGTATGAGCCTTGATGATCCAAGTTTTAAGTGCCTGTTTATATCAATGACATTCTGGGGGGAAAAATGTCAAGCAATTAAAATTCTTCCCAATTTAGTCTCTTCTGACACTCACATCTTTCCATTGTTGCCCACATTGGAAGTTAGAAAATAGCTATTTCTAGGTAATGTGGTGCCAGGAGCATGCCCTATACTCACGTAACAGACTGAAGGTCTTCCAGCAAGACAGGCTCCTCAGAGCCCTTCTCTTTCTTCCAAAATTGTGTATCTTTCTCTTCAAGCCACCACTTAAAAAGTCTTGATTTGTTCTTACTCGTAGAAATAGTCAAAAGGGGCCCGATGGTGTGTACTTCATGAATTAATGTCATTTTAAAGTGGTGGGACATTGATGCATTATCTGTCTCTTTGGCCTTGGTTCTCTTTCTGCAGGCTGGAATAATTCAGCTAGATTGCAGTAATTCTGCTACATTCTACTGAAAGTGGCTCCTGTATAGTGACCAGCATAAAGAAGCACATTCTCACTGGCAGTTCTATTATAAAATACATGGGCACAGGGAAAAGAATCGTGATACGCTTATATAGGATCTTTCACCCAACCACATCAACAATGCTGCTTATAACTAGTGCCAAGAAGTTTGGACATGACTTGTGCTCGTGCACAGAAAGGTAAAAGGTCATACTGTCACTTTTGTGAAAGGCACTCATAAAATTCATCAGCCAGATCTGCTACTATGAACATTAGGTCACAACTGTGGTTGATTTCACAATGTCCTGATAACACAGTATTAACAGTTAGTTTTCCATCAGAAAGCCTGCCTGGTGGTAAACTTTAAACAGCCCTGTAACTCCCTCCTGGTGGAATCAGCCAACAGATGAGACCCTTTGTGTGAGGAATGCTTGGTGTCACCAAGGCTCCTAGAAAGCACAGAATGATCTCTCTGCTCTCCAGATGACTTAAAACTATGTAAAACAAGGTCATTTCCTACTGAGGGGGAGGAAGGAATAGGGAAGAAAAATTTTAAGGCATAAATAAGAGGGGCACACATTTGAAGAAACATTCAGATGACAGCACTACTACAAAAAAATAAATAATGTTTTTCTCTCATTTGGTTTAAGGTCTTTCGTACAGTTCATCCTAGGCCTGTTTTGCGCAGGTGCTGGCTTGAAGGAGAGACAAGCTGAGTCGTGTGCACGTGTTCAGGTCTCCTGGGGCTAATGAAGGGCCCCTGCTGAGCTGTCTGAAAGAACACCAGGAGGACACATCATCTTCTCAGCACAGTCCTCGGAGACAGGTGGCAAAATGAGAGGGTTCCAACATAAAGTTTTGTCTTCTGTCCCTAAAGGGACATAGCTATCTCCTGAAAAATAGAAAGGTTTGGAAACATCATAAAAGGATAAAGGCTATTCTATATAAATTAGTAAATAACATTACTTGGAGCAATAAAGAAAGAATAATTAGTGAAAGTAGAGCCTAGTTACGTTTGGTTCAAGTTTGAGGAAGACAGTGTTTAAAATGTTTTAAAATAAAGAATAAAGGTGAGCTCTCATGAGGATTTAAACAAACCCCTTAAAAGTCCCAAAATAACCACCTGTAAGAGAGGCTACAACTCTAGAACCAACTTAAAAAGAGGGAGGCTCGTGTTCACAAAACGCATTCTGTATTCTGTTCAGGTACAAATTGAATCAAAGCCTATCTGTATATATTTTCCAAAATGTAAAGGTAGTAACAACTGGAGATGAACAATGTGAGTAATAACAGAAGTTCAAGGAATCCTTTTTCTTGTCCTATCTTTTCTTGGAGTAGCCAATATTGGCCCACCCCTGCTCCAGTCTATTAAAAAATATGTAAACTCCTCAGAGGGAAAACTCTGAAAGCTTCACCTTGCCATGTACATTTCTTAGCTAATTGAAGATGCTCTAAAAACCTGAGGCTTGCTATGCCTCCCCTGTACCTCTGCTCAGCTCTGCCGTGCCTTCTGTGCAGCCGGAGTCAACGTCAGTAACACTGTCCTGACAGCAAGTGTGCTGAGCAGATGCTAGGGCCACACTGCCCTCAATGCCCTCCTCAGGCAGACGGCCAGAGTCAGCGACTGTGGACGCCAGGCACACAGACATCGTCACGTGACTGAGGGGCTTCATTTCCAAACCATCCTGAGGATAAGATGCTGCCACAGGGGCTGTAGGAAGAGGGCTGCTGCTGACAGTGCCATTGGTTTTGGTGAAACACCTGTAGAATTTAAACCAAAATTTCCAGAATTATATCTAGAGGAATCAAAAATTATTACTTTTTTTTTAGAGACAGTCTCACTTTATCACTCTTGATAGAGTGCCGTGGCGTCACAGCCCACAACAACCCTCCAACTCCTGGGCTTAGGTGATTCTCTTGCCTCAGCCTCCTGAGTAGCTAGGACTACAGGCTCCCACTACAACGTCCAGCTATTTTTTTGTTATAGTTTGGCTGGGGCTGGGTTCAAACACACCACCCTCAGTATATGGGGCTGGTACCCTATCCACTGAGCCACAGGGGCCACCTGGAATCAAAAATTAAAACAGGCTTTTCTTTTGAAACAGCATTTGGTATTTTATATTCATACATCCCTATGAAAGAATTCTGAAGTTATTCTTAAAAATAACTAGATGACTCACTAAGATTTGCAAAATATCAAGAACCTGAAAATTACAGTAAAAGTGGCAGACAACAGGAGAGTGCATTCAAAGGCAGCCCGCTGCAGAATGGGCCCTGCAGGGTGACAAGCCTGGCCTCCTGGGTCTGGGTCTCCTGTCAGAAGTCACCTCCCGTTTCATCAGTCACTGGCTCCCAAATAATCCTCATGGGAAGGCAGGCCATCAGTCACTCCTTCAAAGGGAGGAGAGGATAGATGAGGAGGAGGAGCAAGGGAAGCTGAGAAACCCATGGCCATATGAGAGAATGAGCTTATGAAAGTTAACAAAATCATACTGCTTTGAAACTAGACAATGTGGTCCCTCTCACTTTTGGAGGAAACACAAGATCCAGGGTATCCAGTGTCTTCTCCTTTCTGCCCCAGGTCGGAAGAACAACAGCCACACAGTAAACACACAAATACCGATGAAAGTTGACAAGCAAAAGGAAAGGCCATGCCCATTCTTCACAAACATGACACTACAAATAAGCGAACAGGCCTCAAACAGTTTGCATGGGGCCTGCTGGCCATAGGCTGGACATCCTGACATGCAAAGCCCAAAAGAATTTTACTTTTCAATTCCATAATTGCCAGAATTTGCTAGAATGAAGCATTTTCACTTTGATTCTGCCTATTGCAAAAAAGATTTTTATTTTTAATTGCTTTGGGTACATAGTACACTAGTTGTGTGTCTTTAAAGGGTACACGGGATGTGTTGATATAGGTAAGCAACGTGTAGTGAACGGATCAGAGTGACTGGGGTACCCAGAACCTCAAGCATTTATCATTTTGCGTTAGAGACATTCCAATTCCACTCTTTTAGTTATTATAGTGCAGATCTCACTATTGGGTAAAATACAGGTAAGTAAATCATCCTACCTATAAGTCTAACTTTGGCTTCAGATAGAGAAATACCGTGACTATACAGTATGCAGTGAGCACCACTGCTGACAGTCACTCACTGTGCTGTCAGACACTGTGCCAGACACTGGTCAGCCCACGTCACTGTCTAACCCTAACTCTGCACCCAGTAACCACTTATCTCTCCCCCTCTGCTCTCCCTTTCTCAGCCACTGGTAACCATCATTCTACTGTCTCTATAGAATCAATTGTTTTAATATTTAGCTCTCACACTTCAGTTAGAATATGTGAGATTTCTCTTTCTGCACTTGGCTCATTTCACTTAACATGATGTGCTCCAGTTCCATGTGTGTTGCTGCCAATGGCAGGATTCTGTTCTACTTTTATTTCCTGTCTTCACCTAAGGTGTATGTTTTCTTTAATTTTTGCTTTCTGTTCTTCAGACCGGGCAATTTCTACTGATCTAAGAGTTCACTGACTCTTCTGTTGTCTCCAATATGCCACTAAACCCATCCAGTAAATTTTCCATTCCAGTTATTGTGCTTCTTGGCTCTGGAATTTCCATTTGGCTTTTTTTGTACAGTCTTTTTGTTTCTCAGTTGGGATTCCCCATGTATTCATTATTAAGGGTATAACTTCCTTTTAAAATCCTTGAACATATTTATAATAGCTACTTTTAAACTCACTACCTACTAATTGTGACAGCCACACTATCTCAGGGTCTGTTTTTTCTCTTAAGTATTAAATTTTCCTGTTTCTTCACATATTTAGTGATTTTTTTTTTACTTGATTTTACCTATTATTTTCTGGTTGTTCTGTTGACAAAAAAAAAAAAAAGGAATTTTAATGAAGAACTAGAATCTAACAATAGTAATCATTTGGAAATTCTGAAACCAGAAGTAGAATAACTGAAATTAATAATTCCACACGTGGGGGCGAAAGAAAGCAGGGCAGGGACGAGAGATGACTGCTGAGTGGGAAGCCGGTCACTGCTAGGATTCAGACAGAAGCACACAGACACAGGGACAGAAATATAGATACGTGTATAACTGAGTCTCTCTGAAAAAGAAAAAAGACAGAAGGATATAGGAACCACATCTGAAGAGACAAACACTAAGAGTTTTCTAAAACTGACAGAAGCTGGAGCAATAGATCAAAGAAGCTCTATGAACCCCAAGCAGAGTAAACACAAAGAAGATACCTGCCCACTAATGGCTGGGAGCAAAATTCAGAGAGAAATCATAAAAGCAGCCAGAAGAAAAAGATACAGCACCTTGAAAGGGAGCAATGACATTTATACAACTGATTTTTCCACGTGATGGACACAATAGCAGAATGACATGTTTGAAGTGCCAAGCAAAAATGCCAATCTAGAATCCAACAAACAGTAAGAATTATCCTTTAAAAAGGACAAGTTGAAGCTACTTTTAGACTAAAAAGCTGGGAAATGTGTTATAAGAAACACAGACCTGTGCTATAACAAACAATAAAGGAAGTTCTTCAAGTTGAAACAAAATAAATAGCAACAGATAGAAAAAAAGGTAGGAAAGGAGTAAATACCAACAAGAAAAGGCAAGGGAGGAAATTCTGAATAAAAATTTACGGCAAAAACAGTTACTATAATGATTTAGAGGATTTTAAATAATTTTAGAAAAACATATAACAAAAATAATACAAAACATTGGAGGGCAAAGAATTTGTATCATATGGGAAATGGTGGAAGTGCTCATCTACATTAAACTCCAACTGAAGTCAGGCTTCCAGCACCCACTCCATAGAAAATGACACAAGTAGGCTCTTGGAAATGGTGTTTAAAAAATTAGAAAATCAGAATTTTTACCTTGCACTTTTCTATTTTTTTCTTAGTTCTCTTTAATTTTTCTTTGTATAGTTTTTACTTTTTTTTTTTTTTTTTTTGCTTTTTCCTTTAAAAAAATTTTGGTACCCTTTTTCCCACACAAGTAAATTATCAGGGAGCACCTGTTAAACTAATTTGTCAAATTACCTTATACCAGTCCACACTGGTATAATTACGTTATACCAGTCAACAGTAAGATGAGGTACTCATACTAAAGTGGGAATGAACTGACACACTCTCTTTAACTTTTTATAGCATCACAATATTAGTTATCTTTGTCCTAGTTCAGTACTGATTCTATTGTCTTTATCATTTTTCTGTTGGCTGCAAAGCTGTCTGACTCAAACTTCAACTTCAGGAACACAGGCAACAACTGTTCTCAGTGTCAGGAAAAGCTCTCAGGACAGTGATGGTGTGATGCAAAGTAAGAAAGCTTCCAGCGTTATGTTCACTTCTCTCAAGAAGCCAGAGCTAAAAGAAAAGTCCTAGAAACCTATATTTAAAAGATAAAGAAGTGTCAGATCTGAAAAAAAACATTTTCATTTAGAAGATGTAAAATTAAGCTATAGGGGGGAACAAACAGAATTTGGGAAACCATCACAGTTCCTGACAAACAAAATATTATAAATATAATAATGTGTTCATATAAATCTAAAATGAACGAATTTCATGATGTGAATGTAACAGAGTGAAGACCCACCAGATGAGATACCTCAAATCCTTCTCTCCTTTCCTTCTAATTCCTTTTTTTCTACTCTTTTCTTTAACTTAAATTGCATGCTGAGATTTTTTTTTAAAGAAGTCTAAGGGCAGCCTAAGTCTGGGACTGTAAAATACTTTTGTCAGAATGATGGTGAAGTTATGTCAGAGAGGCAGGACTGGAGGAGTGGGGAGGACAAGAGGCAAGGTCACACACCAAGGCAGACGGCCAGCACACTGGCACACATTTTCTGTGCCAGGAGTAAGCAAGCATATGAAACATGCATATATTTTTAAAGAAAGGACAGATATTTAGTAAAAGTATAATTTCCTATCACCTTTTTTTTTTTTTTTTTTTTTGAGACAGAGTCTCACTCAGTCACCCTGGGTAGACTGCAGTGGTATCACAGCTCACAGAAACCTCCAAACTCTTTGACTCAAGGGATCCTCTTGCCTCAGCCTCCTGAGTAGCTGAGATTACAGGTGCCCACCACAATACCCAGCTAGTTTTTCTATTTGTAGTAGAGACGCGGTCTCACTCTTGCTCAGGCTAATCTCGAACTCCTGACTTCAGGCAATTCACCTGCCTTGGCCTCCCAAAGTGCTGGGATCATAGGCGTGAGCCACAGCGCCCGGCTACTATCACCTATTCTTTAGCAACTCTTTCTCAGATAAGTGAAACAGAAAATCATAGCAGTATTTACTGTTACTCTAAACTGTGACTCAATTACCACAGTGTAGATAGTAGTATGATAACTTGAGTTAGATTTGTAAAGTGCTTATGACCAACTTTCAACATGAAAACCACACTGATTATACATTTTCCAGTATAGTGAATCTTAACTCATAATCACCAGTAAGTAACCACTTAGCTAGCCTAATGTAAATAACTGAATTACATTCTTTTTAGTTCATCCAGATATCTACATGTGTCAGCATAACAATGGCTTTAACTTGGGGGTTACACATTGAGACACAAGCATCAAGGACAGTCTATTAAAAAAGAATATGGTCTCTATAAAGAGCTGCCAATGCTTAGTCACCAGCTAAGATGGGAACCACTGGGGTAAAGTAGTTTCTTCTGACATGTACTTGGAAGGACCTCCATTTCTTCTCTTTTTTTTTTTTTTTTTTTGAGATAGCATC